ATCCCTACTCCCACGAGTCAGGAAGTTTGAGGGATAGTGGCAAGATTACACTAGATTTGGAGCCACAGAATTCAGGTAAGAATTCCAGCTCTGACACTTACTCCCTGTGTGGCTCTGGGCAGGTCACATTGTCTCTCTTAGCCTCAGTGTCCTTATCTGTAAAATGAGAGAGGTGATCTACATGAGTTCTTAATTTAGGGTCCATGGACCCCTGTGTGGATAAATTTCAGAGGATCAGTGAACTTAGATGGGGAAAAAATTTTATTTTCACTAGCCTCTAACTGAAATTTAATATTTCCTTCCATTACACATTTTAAAAAAATGATTCTGAGAAGGGGTCCATGTTGTTTAGTCATTTCAGTCATGTCCAACTCTTCCTGACTCCATTTGGAGTTTTCTTGGCAAAGATACTAGAGTGGTTTGCTGTTTCCTTTTCCAACTCATTTGACAAATGAAGAAACTGAGGCAAGTAGGGTTAAGTGATTTGCCCTGGGTCACACAAAGAGGCTTCACTAGAATGGCAAAGGGGTTCCTGGCACAAAAGAAAAGAAAAGAAAAGATCTATTAAGAACCCCTGGCCTAGTGGCTTAGATGGTCTCTAAATTTCCGTTGCATTTTCAATCCTATGATCCTATCTATGTTCAAATATATATTCCAGCTTTGAGGATAAAGTCTCCAGATTAGCTTTCTACTAGGAACTTCATGGGCAGCTAGGTGGTGAGATAGAGAAGCAGGCCTGGAGTGTGGAGGACCTGAGTTCAAACATGGCCTTCAACACTAACTAGGTATATGACCTTGGACAAGTCACTTTACCTTGTTGGCCTCAGTTTCCTCACCTGTAAACTGAGCTGGAGAAGGAAATGGCAAACCACTCTAGTATCTTTGCCAAGAAAACCCCAAGTGGGGTTACTAAGAGTCGGAAATGACTAATCAACAAAGCAGCAACAACAATCATTTCTTTAATTCAAGCTGCTTAGCAAGTGGTTGTAGATGGTTAATGCAAGCTGAAAAACTTGCAAAACAGTTATTGGCTTAGTAATCCATGTAACATTGTTTGTGTTCATCTTGTCTGAACATAAAGAAAAATGTAGCAGCTGCGATGTTCCAATGTTAGCCTTTAAGACTCTCTTTAAGACTCTTTAAGGCACTCTCTTAGCATGAATGCATCCTGGCCTCCTGGCTCCTTCCAGCACAGACCATTCTGGACAAACCATCAAACCAATCTTCCTAAAATCACTTTATTATTCATCATTCAGCCAAGTGGTCCTTAGATATCTGGAGGCAGGTTAATGTAGTACAAACAGCCCAGGATTTGGAATCAGATGTACGTAGTTCAAATTCTGGACCTGATCTCTTGATATCAATGTGACAGTGGTTAAGTCAGTTGTACTCTCTGACCCTCAGATCCCTCATCTGTAATAAGAGAGCTAAACAAGATAACTTCTAAAGTCCTTTTTAACTCTAAAATCCTATAAGATACCAACTGCCACCCAACTACCACACAGGGCAGGCAAGCCAGCCTAGCTGAGGCACTCTGAGAGAGACAGGAGGCAGCATAAGCCAGGCAAATCAAACCACCAGTGCCACCTTGGCCATCAGCTCCCCTCAGACCCTGCTGGGGACAGCTCAAGACTCTAAAGTTAAGAGCCTTGGGAACAGCAGTGCATCCTGGGATGCAGTCTGATGACTATTGCTGCAATAACTATAGCTACACCTACTAAAAGACCTAGGGGGAAAAAAAGTTCTTGTCACAAAAGTCCTTGGCACTGTCAAATGGTTCACCATCAGAAACGGATTTGGTTTTATCCATGGAAATCTGCTTTGCCTCTGTACCCTAAGGTCCATGGGATTTTTGCATTTGAATTGCAGTTGAACTCTTCCATATGTGTTTCATATCTCTCATTAGAGTGTGAGCTTCCTAAGAGGAGAGAATGTCTCACTTTCCTATTTGTATCCCCAGCACTTAGCACAGTGTTTGGCACACAGTACTTAATAAATGCTTAATGCATTCATTCATTCATTCATTCATTCATACATATACAAGCACAATTAAATGAGCACTCCAATTGTGCTAAATATTGTTGTTCAGTCGTTTTTCAGTCCTATCTGACTTTTGGGGTTTTCTTGGCAAAGATACTAGGCTGATTTGCCATTTCCTTCTCCAGCTCACTTTACAGATAAGGAAACTGAGGCTAACAGGGTTAAGTGGCTTGCCCACGGTCACATAGCTAGTAAGTATCTGATGCCAGATTTAAACTCAGGAAGAGGAGTCTTCCAGATTCCAGGCCTGGCACTCTATCCACTGCCCCACCTATCTGTCCTCTAAGTATTGTGGAGGATTCTAAACAAGCATAAGGCTTGCAGTTTTCTGCCCTCATGGACTGCTATACTGGTTGAGAAGTTAGGATGCAAGTGCATGTTGACAACAAGGGACAGTTCTTGATTAAATGAAAAAAAACTCAGTGATCCTGATAACAACAGGATTATAGAATCTTAAGATGGAAGATGATCCAACCTCCCAGCCAATGTAGGAAATCCCTCTAATATATAGGTGGTTATCTAGCCTCTGTCCCCAAGCTTTCTTTCAATAGGTGGGGCAGGATCCAGAAATTCTAGGCTTAACCTGAACAATTTTTAGACAAACTACACCTACCATTATGGACCTCACATATTTTGGAACAGTAGATACATCTAATAACCAATCAATCAATAATTGATTGATTGTTATTCTGAACTTGCACCCAAGGTCACAGCCAGTAAGTGTCTGAGGCTGAATTTGAATTCAGGTCTTCCTGACTCCAGTTCCTGTGCTTCATCCATCTACCTGTTCAAGAGTCAGTAAGACCTGAGTTCAAATCCTCTCTTAGACTCTTAATTAGATTTGTGGCCCTGGGCAAGTCACTTAACCTCTCCCAGCCTCAGTTTCCTGTTCTGTAAAATGAGGATAAAAATAGCACCGACCTCACAAGGTTGTTGTGAGCATCAAATAAGATGCTATACATAAAGTGCTTTGCAACCCTTAAAGTTCATATAAACGCTAGTTAGCACTAAGTATTATTAACAATAAATGCTAATTATTGTGAATATTAGTAATAATACTTCTGTTTCCAAACGACAGCTTTTCACAGACTTAAAGACTGCTTTCCTAGCCTTCTAATGTCTTTACTTCTCCGTCCCTCATTCCCTCTCCCGTTCATCATGTGACTTGACTTCTGGGCCCTGCTCTGCACATGTCCCAGTTGGTCAATATTCCTCCTAACATGTAATGCCAATACACAAAGATACACTCTAAGTGCTGTCTATCATGGTTAAGAAAAGGAGAGATCAACTTGTGCTAGTATCCCCTCTGCTCAAAAACCCACAATGGCTCTCTATTGCCTATCAGATCAAGTTCAAACTCCTCAATCAAGTGTTCTGGGTTGTCCGTAATTTGTCCCATCACCCCTTTTATCTGCCATCTGATTCAAACTAGATCTTCACCACAAACTCTCTACCTTAAGCAGGTTGGTCTCTTAACTCCTCTCTCCCTCCCTTTGTCCATCCCACTGTGTAGGTACCTACGTACCCCCCTCCCCCCACTCTCTTTACAATCTCTGGATTGCAATTTGGATTTGGATTTCTGCTCCTGGTGGAAATGCCCTCCCCTCTTCTCTCCTGCTCACCTTTCAAGGCTCAGCTCAAGTCATCATAAAGCCTTCCTTTATGACGCTAGCCCATGCTGCTCCCTCCTTTATCTGCTCTGCCAAAGAACTTAATTTCTGTCATCTACAACTCCCTGCCCCCGCACACATTAGCACTTGTTTTGTATTCATCTATCATTATTTCGTATTAGTTTAGTGTATTAGTTTTCATTCCACAGTTTTAATACATACTATTAAAAGGCCTAAAAGAGGGTCTCCATTCTATCTAGGTGGCTCCTCTGTAGATGCTTTATCATAGCACAGGGACAAAAGTCACAAGATACCAAAAAAAGGCAAAAGACGGGATATGTAGGATAAATAAGAAATAATTAATAGGGGGAAGGCACTAGACTCAAAAGGAGGCGAGGAAAGCTAGGGAAGTTGGGAAGACATGGATGGACTGCCATTTGTACCAATAGAGTGAATACTCTCGACAGTGAGATCATGGATCAATGAATTATTGTTATTATTAATAATCTTGTTTTCGTCTTTTCAATGATGCTTGGACAGAAGCAATTCTGGGGAAAGCTGATATTCTGCTGTTATTCTTTTACATTTAATGTTCTGGAGATTATATTGCACAGGTAGATAAAAATTGCTTTTTGTAATTTAATAAAAGTATTATGATGTGAGCTCATCTTCTGTAAGCTCACTGAAAGGTTCTTTGGAACAATTCCAGCAGCAGATAGGATGATATATGACTCATCCTATTCCCCCATGGTTTTGATTTCATTAAGCTTTTCCTTACACATAGCTTAGAGATTATGAGTATTTGGAATGTGGGGCAGACAGTACATATGAACAATGTACAGGATCCAGAGTTGAACAAGGAGGAGGAGAATAGGATAAATTGCCTTCAGGAAACTGCCAAGTACTGTTAATGACCCCAAGCTTCCTTTGGAAACAAAGGTTCATCTTTTCAATGCCAGTATTCTACTGGTGTCTTTTCAAAGAACGGAAATTAAATGTCATCCAGAGAGCAATGTGTGAACAGAAACCTCAAAGAGGAACAGAACTAGAAGACAATCAATGGAAATTTAGGAAATGAATGATAGGAAGGGAAGATGGGCTGGTTAAGTGGCAAGAGGCAGAGATGACAAATGAACAGTCAAAGTGTACCACTGGTATCCTTGGGATGTCAAGAGAAAGAGATGAAAGCTTCCAGAAAGTTTAGTGGGTCCCATGTGGTAAACTTATGAGAGGCCACATACAAAAGTCTCATAGGATGAATCTGCATGGAAGGGTTGCAATCTCTATCCCAGGAGGGATCAGCCAAATGAAAAAGAACTTCCCTTTCACCACCCTATATGTGAGTGTTACCTTTATGATAGATGGGAGTGCCTGAGCCCAGGCTGCTGCTCTTGATGAGGTGGTAGGCAATCCAACAGCTTTCCGTAGGTAGCGCCCATGTATGTCGCTCATGTTCAGTAAATAGAGTGCACAGGCCAGAGCATAGCCTCCCCAATTGGAAACACCTGACATGGAAAACAGACTCTAAATCACAGGACTACAGAGAGAGCTTGCTTCATGTCCTTATCTTTAGGGAGAATCACCCCTAAGCTGTCTGGGCAGAAGAGGTTCAGTCCTTATACTGAGCTCCAGAAGAAGGGATTTCACAACATCCCTAGATATTTAATAACCTTCAAAATTAAGAAAGTGACCATTCTGACTAATCTTAGAATGGAAAGGGTGCTAGACTTGGTGACAGAATATTTTATGTCCTAACTTGCCAACTTATTGTGCTGTCTTGGACAAATCATTTCACCCTTCTGACTCTTCATCTCTTCTTCTGTAAAATGGGATAATAATACCTATATTACCTATCTCATAAGAGTGTTAAGAGGAAAGTGCTTTTAAACCATGAACCTCTACATAAATGTGAACTAGTATATAATTATGTATAATATAACATGTATTATACAAATTCATATTATAATATAATTACATCATTATATATAGCACAACATATAATCATATTAAAATAACACAATTATATTTAATTTATTTAAATTCATTAATATTTCTGTTTATTAAATATATTTGTTATTATATAATAATTATAAAAAGTGATAATTATTATATCATATAATCATAATGGCTGAACATCTAATTCCATTCTTTGATCCAATGACTCTGGTCTTCTGGCTGTTCTACGAACGTGATGCTCCATCTCTCAGCTCTGGGCATTTTCTCTGCCTCTCCCCCATGCCTAGAATGCTCTCCCTCCTCTGCTTGGACTACTGACCTCCCCGGCGTCCTTTAAGTCCCAGCTGAAATCCCATCTTCTACAGGAAGTTTTCCCCAACTCCTCTTGATTCTAGTGCCTTTCTCCTATTAATTATTTCTTATTTATCCTATATATCTTGTCTTTTGCCTTTTTTTTGTATCTTGGGTGTTTAACATAGCGTCTGGCACGATAGTAGGTTCTTAATAAATGTTTTCTGCTTGATTATATAATTTCTACTTTTTTTGCATTTTGCTCATTAGATTATAAGCTCCCTAAGGCCAGGGACTGTATTTTGCTTTTCTTTGTATCTCTAGCACATAGCATAGTGCCTGACACATAGTAGGTGCTTAATAAATGTTTACTGATTGATTATATAATTTTTGTACATTTTTTTACATGTTATTTCCCTCATTAGACTGTAAGCTCTTTGAGGGCGGGGGCTACTTTTCTTTGCATCCCTAGCATTTAGCACAGGGCCTGGTATGTAGTAGGTGCTTAATGAATGCTTATCATTGACTGACTCCGTGGGCATCTTACCAGCTATGACAGCAAAATCAGCTTCCACATCACAAGCTATGACATCTCCATTCTTGATGTACTTCTTCACAGATGTTTTGACTTTTCCCATCCCAAGTTCATTCCCTCCATCACCAATACCTAGGTTAGAAGGGCAAAAGGATAAACAGATCAATTTCATAAACTAGAGAAAGAAGGAAGGTCATTTCTTATACATAACCACAAAAACAACAACAATATCACACCTGTCAGTTGAGGTAAATGAGGTATTTAGAGGAAGCTAAAGTGACCCAGGCATAGAGGAGGTGCTACCCTGCTCCACCTCTTCTGGGAGTTTCTTGTAACTTGTTTCCTTCACTGACGTAAAACGCTTGTTGATTGAGTGATCAATTTAAACCCCAGGGCCAGCTCTTTTCAGCTAGGTGGCATAATGAATTGAGCTCTGGGCCTGAAGTCAGAAGACCTGAGTTCAAATCTTGCCTCAGACACCTATTAACTGTGTGACCCTGGGCAAGTCACTTAACTTCTGTCTGTCTCAGTTTTCTCAACTGTAGAATGGGGAAAATAATAGCATCTACCTCCTATTATGTGAATAAAATGAAATAATATTTGTAAAGCCTTTGCGAACCTTAAACACTACATAAATGCTGGCTGTTGTTTTGGTGCAATGGATAGAGTGCTGGGCCTGGAATCAAGAAAACCCGAGTTCAAATCTGACCTCAGACATTTACTAGTCGTGTGACACTGGGCAAGTCACTTAACTCCTGCTTCCCTCAGTTTCCTTATCTATAAAATGGGGATAATAATAATAATAATAATACCTAATCCCTCCAGGGTCATTGTGAGGATCAAATGAGGTGAAAATTGTAAAGCACTTAGCACAGTGCCAGGCATATAGTATATAGTATATAAATATAAATAAATTTATATAGTATATAAATGTTAGCTATTATTACTTTTTAAAAATTATTTTTCCAGAGTAGGAAATTGAGGCTTAGAGTTGTAACTTGTCCAAGGTCTCTGAGTAACCCCTACTTTGCATTTTATCTTTCTGCTCTCAGTCAAATACTGTTACTTAAAATTTCTAAAAGATCCATTTCTTATCGAGTAGGCAACACTGAGGTCCACAGATTATGCCTATGAATATGCATGTACACACATATACATACAATGTGGTATAATGGGAAGAGCCTTGCAGCGGGAAAATGGATACCTGGGTTCAAGTCCCGGCTCAATCACTAAATCATGTGACTTTGAGTAAATTACTTCTCTCCGCGTCTTAGTTTCCTCTTTTGTAAAATAAGAGAGTGAGACTAAATGCTCTCTAAGGCACCTCCTAGCTCTAATATGCTGTATTCTTCTGTTCCTGTACCCATTGTATAGGGCATTGTCACATATATCTTTATTTATATATATTCTTGTAACTTCAATGGTCATTATAGGATTTCTGGTTAACGTTGTCCTTATACGTAGGGAGAGTTTGTAGTCTCTTGGTAACACATGAGGCTCTCCAGGAAAGTTCCCCTGCCTCCAAAATATTCATCTTACCTGCCAGGCACACTACCGGAAATCCCATTTGAGTTTAGTTTCACTGAAACTGCCACTCCTGGGGTGGGGCCGAGATGGCGGTTTAGAGGCAGCAACCCAGATGAAGTCTCTCAATACTCCCCTCCAAACGAGTTAAAATAATTCCTCAAACCAAATTTTGGAATGGCAGAGCCAACAAAAGGTCAGGGTGAGACATTTTTCTGGTCTGAGAGAAGTTAAGAAATAGGCAGGAGAGGTCTGCGGCACTGGGGTGGAAGCTTGTCTGGAGCCCACACAGGCCAGGGTGTCAACAGCAGGTACAGCAGTAGCTGCAGCTTCAGAAGCTCTCAGCTCAAAGACAGCCAGGGACAGAATGCGTGTGTGTGTGTGTGTGTGTGTGTGTGTGTGTGTGTGTGTGTGTGTG